CACAAAAAACGATAAATAAATTATTTGGGCTTTGTAGACGTTCTGATGCCTAGGGGGTGGGCTCTGGGATGTCTCACCCACAATTCTGTGACGTGTAGGTCAGTATGCAAATGCAAACATAACCGATCTTCTAAATCCTAACATCATTTTGACAACCATCAAAATTAATGAGAGAGAACAGAGCCTTGTGACTCACCAGTGGTGCGCCTTGTGGCAAACTCTGCTGCTGAGTGTGCCTTCGAAATTTATAACACCTTGAGCCAATCACGTCCTCATTTGTTTGAGCACACATAAATTTGTCTGGCAAGTAAGCGTCGTTGCATGAAGTAATGTTGGATAGTAAGATATATTAACTCGGTCAGATAGGAATTTCATTCAAGAGTTCTGGTCCAGTCTTTGAGCCGAAAGTGTACTAAAACCGTGCCTCAACGGCGAAAGCTAGAATGTTCTACAGAAGTGAGTTGTGAATCTTCCCAAAGAAATGAGGATCGATTTTATGGATGGCGTATAAAGTATAAAGTATAAAGTATCACATGAGAATCAGTGGAGCGCACACACTCCGCTGGCTATGCGAGCTTGCTTTATTGGGATCGTCAAGTATTCATCTCTAGTCAAAAATGTATCCCCACTAAGTACCCCGTTTGGGTAGACAAAATTTAAACCGTCGAATTCCCGTAGAAAGAATGGACCAAACTTGCATCCCCTGGGCTACTTGCGGAAGAAGTTTTCCCAAGGAGGAGAACCTTGGAGCGCGTCTGCGGACAAAATATCCTGTAAAAATGCATTAGCTATACTTGTTGGTAACATCCACGGAGGAGATTTTTATAAACTCCTCAGAAAAATGAAACCAAAATAAAAATTATTCACAAGGTTCCTGAAAACTCTTCAACAGTCCACGATCGATTTCGCCCTTCTTAGGGCTCATTAGGTAGTCGAAGTCCCCAAGTTTTCATCAAACTTAGGTTCTAATTGAACCGAATTGGACTCTTTGAGAAATACACTCATTTGCAAATCAATTTGGTTTTCACGAGAGACTCAACTGAATCTCTCGTTTATGATATACTACAACTCAATGTACTGCACACAGGCCGCCCCATGTTTTAATTGGTACGATATTCGAGATACCACAGTATACTTTCACAAAGGAAACTACTCACAAGATCGCTGAAAACTCTTCGACAGCCCACGACCGGTTTCGCCATTCTTGGGGCTCATCAGGGAGGCGCAGTCCTTAAGTTTCCATCAACCTTTTGACCTACTTGAACGAACAATTTAGTTGAGTATCTCGTGGAAACGAAATTGATTTGCAAATGAGTGTATTACTCGAAATAAAAACCCTTCAATTTTTTCTAAATTCAAGCCTCTAAGTTTCCAACTCTCGTTCATTTTACAAAACCGCTTATTTGTGCCAAAGTCTTCCACAACTCAGACATTACCTACTTTGATCGATTAACACTTAGCGGCACTATTTCAACATAAAATCTGCATCCAGGCCTCCAGGCTTGCTGATCAACTTGTGACGGTGAATTTCCGTTTTGTCATGATTTTTCAAAGGTTCCTTACTTCCTTTACACGCATCTTTACAGTAAGCGGGTCGCAAGACGGATAAAAGTTAGCTAAGCGTCGCGCAATATGTTTGCTAAAATTCTTTTAACGCCCGGTGATGAAAAAAACCGAAATACATATTGCATTGCGTTATGTAGAAAATTAGATTTTATAACACACCATGACAGCACAATAACACATTAATAACAAAATAATAATAAAATGTAATAAGCATAATATAGCACTGTAGGGTACGGTATGATATAATATAATGCGACATAATATGATACAATTTAATAAAGGATAATACACCGTACCGTAACATGGTACAATATATACCAAGATATTACAAAATAATATAATAATATAAATGAGATATTCATAATAATATGTAACATAATAGATTTATGACACGGTGGTAAGCTAATGTTCGGTCAAAAGAGGCCATCCATTTTCTTGTACCCTAATATTTGCTTAGGTAGTGAAATAAAGTTCCGTGGGATTTCGTCCTGTAAGGGAAGCCAATCTATGCTGAAAAGCCGAGAAGCACTGTACAGCTGTTTCATCCTTATTGGGAATCATGAACGGTGCGCATCTCACGAAACTCCGAAGAGTCTCGAACCCGCGACCCCCCGGCTAGTAGTTTGAACACTTAACCGTTCGGCCACGAGTGGCTGATCAGCAGTGTGATTAAATCGCACTTAGGCAGGATATAGCGTCGCTCATCCTTCAATCACGGGATCCACATCACGTGGTCACACGTGTTGACCGGCTCCTCGAACAACGACTTCTCAGATCCCAAATCTCTTCACACTACCAACAATATATAAGTAGCTCAGTGGAAGAATATACTTCACCCGATGAGTGAAACTTCTATCTGTAGGACAACAATCAAAAGACACTTTCTGAGAACTCTATGCCGCTGAAAATCAAATACAATACAATGATTGTTCACACATTAGTAGGTGGTTTTCACATTTTTGATGCACAACCGGTTGCCCGCAAAAAAGCCTTGTGCATCAGAAGCTCCAGGAATCCCGTTTTCTGAGGAAGGAAATCATTGGTTAATCTACCCTAGTAGTTTGCAACAGCCCAAGTAGAAAAAAAGCCAAACCAACACACACTGTCCTTAACCTAATTGAATTTATCGACCCTCATTCACACAGGTGCGTTTGCACAGGTTGGGTTGTAAGGAAGTAAACACCGCCATCAATGGGAAACTTTGCATCAAAATTTCCTCCCAAGCAACATCACTCGTATTGGAGGTTTGCATATCTCAAATATTTCAAACCAGACCAGCCTAAGTGAACATGCTTACCTGAAATTTCACCATTTTTGGCGTTATTATTTAGAGGAGAATATGAGATTCTGTAACGCCTCAAACTGAAGATGTTTCAAGAAACTGCTTCAAATGCTTGTTGATAGTCTAGAAAAAAACCGCGTGATATTCTGTTTGAGTAGTAGTAGTAGCAAACTTAGAATCGCTTACCATTATTCGACGCATTATCGGTTGTATTTACTCATCCAGTGCACACAAAACGTGGTTGGACAAAATACGCTTTGTCGACATTTTCTGCTAGGCTTTTTAATGAAAATCGTTTATTTTTGAAAAAAAAAAAACATTTCAGGCTTTTCTAACGAGGCCAATTCACTTTTCTTCTGATACAACCAACGCCTAGTGATCTTACATTGCAATTACTGACCACTCGCTGACCGATGTTTGTTGTGTGGTCATCGATTTTCACTGCATCTCTTCAGTTGAGCTCGAGATAGCTCAGTCGTTCAGGCAGGTGATCATGTGATCTGTGACTTGCATCCGACTGCTGTGACTAATCATTTCAACCCTGTCGTTTCGCAGCTCCGGTGTCCTCTCCGCGTGATATCGCAGGTGAAATTTTCAGTGATCCTACTGATATCTATTTTCAAAACCATGTATGTCTCCTAATCAGTCGAGATCCTACTGGGTATTTGTAGCATGCAATGTAAAGCAAAGAGTTTAAACTCAACATGGTTAGGGCTCACATTCAAACTCGGTCTTAACTCCCTAAAATGCTGCTTGGCTGTAAACTTCAATATTTGAAATGCGTCAACTAGCGTAGATATTCTGGCTCGATGTTTTTTTATGATTCTGGTGCCTCAGCAAATAGCACAGCCGGGATATTAATTTCAGAAGTCGTAGTGAAGAGATATACCTTATAATGTCTGCTTGAAAGTTCACGTCCAGTTTAGGGTAGAAACGTTTGGGATCTTGTTGCATTCGCGCGAGCGCATTAGAGTGCACAAACAAGACTCCGGTTGGTACAAATTGTCAGCAATTCAGTTCCATCTTTCAAAAAGATTTGGCTTGATTCATGGCCCTAGACGAATTTCAACGATGAATTAAAAGTTAATGACGACTTCCGATAAGATAAGAGTGAACGCGTTCGAGCATAATTCTGAGGTGAGACGCCGTTATATAGATTCACCTAGAGTCCTCTTTGGACCTCACTGCAAATAAGTCCAGCTCAAAACGGCGAGAAAAATGTTAGCTTTGCGTTTCGAATAGGGAATGACAGCCACTAGGGTTGGTTGTGAGATGTGCCTTGCGGGATTTCCACTTACCTGCGAATACGGGCATCTGCGTCGCACCCAGACAGGCGCGAAGATGGCACAACTTCCTGTTTGACGGCAACCGATTTCATTTCGTATCGTCTTGGCAAGACTTGTCTGCTTTTGATTAAAATCGCTCGGAACAGCAAACAGCGCCTTGTTTGCAGCGCATTTCCAGATCACCTCAACCTAAAAAGTTTAAACTCCTGTTTAGGCTGTTGTGATCGGACATTAGTAGGCACCCTGGGTTGCAGAATTTGTGGGCCAACCTCAAAGTAACATCATGGTTACACCGACTGCCTTTGGTTTCAACGGAGTGTATTTTCGACGAAATAACTGATGCAAGCTGACAAAGTCTTCTCGTGGTTTGTTCCATTGCACGCCGCCGTTTTGCCAAGAACTGGTTAGCAAGCATTTACTGCTCGAGTCTCAGAGAAGCAGAATGGGATGCGAAATCCCGAATAGGTATTTGCACTTCAGGGTTAAAACACACAGGTTCTAGTTTGATTGGCTGTTGAGATTACTTTGTTTTTTACATACTACTCAGGGCGTGCCTTTTTACGATAACTCCGAAGAAAAAAATCTAGAAAGCGGATATTCCTGACGAGTCTTACTAGATGTAAGAAAGTTTGTTCAACTTACAAATTCAGGTGGAATTGTAAGGATAAGTGGCAAGAAATTCTACGATCGTGAACGATTCTCCATCTGGGGGAGAATAGTAAAGGGGTATTGTTTAGGAACACCAAATGGTCTACACACTTCGAACCATGAGATGTTGATGACAATCACGCTGTTTTGATCCGCACTTAATGCCCCCCTCCGTCCGAATGAAAATACAAAAATTGATTTTCGAAAAAAAGGAGTGCATTGAACAGTGGCAAACATTCCGCGAATTTTCAGTCAACTGTAATTCAAATGAAGCGTATACACAAAATTCAGTTTTGACTTTTTCATAGGCGACTTAAAATGTTGACAAAACAAGCGAACCAATCTGGGGTTAAAGCGGTATTCTGAGTTGTCAAGTCCTGGCGCACATGGTTCTCATTTGTTTCCACAGCAGACGTTGATCATTGCGAGTGATAGTACCAACAGCTGCGGGGATGGTCGGGAATAATAAGAGAACAACCCTGTAATAGTACGAAATACCTTCCACGTCTGTAGATGCGTTTTGTACTCAGAAGTTAATTTGAAATTATTGTCTGGTTAGCGGTTGCAATAGCGGAAAACTGGAAAAATAACAGCCGGTGTCACTACAGTTGTAACAGTGCAATCTCAGTGTTGTTTGCAATAATCAAGAAGATATTTTCTTTCAAATACAGGGTGTAGATACCGTTGTTCTGCGTTGGATTCCTTGAATAAACTGAGTATCTGCCAGCTTAACGATAGCGAGACAAAATAAACCAACAGGGCGTCTGCGTTCAGTCACTAAATTGTAACAGACAGCTGAGCGGATCTTTGGTTCTGAAGACTACAACGTTGTTGGCGTTACATCAATAATTTTAGTTCATTTTGAGCATAAAGCAGGGCCACGACTGATGAAGCTCTTCTAGGTGTCTTAATGAATAAACGTGTCGTTTCGCAGTTTGCCGATCTGGATGGACTCAGCTCAGATCAGCAGCTCGAGATCCTGATGGTGATGATCATTTCAGGTGTACGCGCTCTCTATTCAGCAGGATAAGATACTGCTGCATTGCTCGTCACCGAGATTCCGTAGGTGCGCTGGCGTTTAATCACTTATTGAGTGCTGTATTGCCCGATTGATAGGCGAAGTACCTGACCGGTTAGTCACATTTATTGACAATAAAGGTGTATAGTAAACAAATTACAACATCCTCAGGATAGATTAGGTTACAACAGAAGTGCAGACTGCAAGTGCGACTATCCCCTCTCCAATCTGAAATCTGTACAGTACACAATGTAACTCTGATTGTGGACGTCGCCAACCAGTGAGGTTTCATCATAAAGTCTCTTGAAATTTCGCTTTCTAACATTTAGCTGCAAACCTTGTAAATGGTTCAATCCGAAATGCCTTTTCCATGTTTTATGTGAGCCCACAGAATTACAGAGAACATTTCATTTGGCCTCCGCTGTAAGCACCCTCTGGATGACCATCCTGCATGCAAAACCAACCAGAATGTCGGACTTTCGCAACCTTTGTTGAAGGACATGTCACGACAACACTTATTCCTAAAATGCTTCTCTTTCTGATCGCCAACGAGAATATATCATCACTCTTTACAAGGAAGCAAAATTAATCTGAATGAAAGCAGGTAAACTTTCAAACGAAGTGCTACTGGTTAGTAAGGAAGGACGTCACACAGAAGATGAAAATTGGACGCCTTTAGTTCGTGTGCCCATGTTATACATTACCTGAATGTTGAATGAAGGCCTTTTTGCCTTCCGATGACTAAGGATTCAACATCTCCTTGTAGTCTTACACTGTGCTGAAAAAGTGCATAGAAGCCAAATCCCGAGAAGCTACTTTTCTTGGTTCGACGCCACATAATGTGATCTCAAAACTGCACTGCGAGATGGCTCTAGTGGCTAGAGTGCGAATTTACTGACCGAAAAGTCCGTGGTTCGAACCCGACATCTGCCTCTCGACTTCCCCTGTCTAGGCTTGGACAACCTGGCAGTATCTCCGCCCTCATGCTTCCACAGGGTGGCATGGAGGCTAGTCACTGGAAGGATGTTACAGCTAAACGACCTGACCTACCTTTTGGTGTATGCGGTTACCACAAGGCTGAAATGGGCATACTAGATTGGAACTCAGTAAACAGTTGTATTTACGCTGTAGGGCAAACTGTGTTTGTTTGTGTATCAGCATATGTCAAAACAGACAGCACCATTGAGAGTGGAAAGGACGAGGTTTTTTATCCAGATTTCTGACAAGAATGATGGGTATTGTAATTTTAGGAGGTGATATAAATGAACGCATTAGACGAGCAGTTCATAAGAAGCACAATTAAGTGGTGTAGTCGGATTTGATGATCAATGTACGAACAATCGGGAGCGGCCTCCTCAATGGTGTGCAGAACGTCGTCTGTTTCTCGTCAGTACAAAGTTCCTACACGAACGGTCAAATCGAGACAGACATAGACTCAGTCGAATCATGCGGCTAGCAATTACCGAGCAAGAGCATCAGTCGAGGATTGGCGTTCCTTCTGGAGTACACAACTTGAGAGTGACCATGACACTGTGCGAGTCAGTTTATCACTTCGCTTTTCACCAGCATTACACGTGCGAGAGCAGAGCAGTTCCATTAATCAACTTCTACAAGTTTCACAAACTCAAGGATATTAGGCTGATATGGCTGGAAAGCTACTGGAAACGCAGTCTTGCGAATGACGAGGGACACTTGGAGGTTGAATAAAGGTGGTCCAAAGAAGCTATCCCCTCATCTCTCGAAGAAATATTCGATCAAGCCATCCGCCTGGGCAAAATGAAGTCTAGATATTGATGAGACTAGCAGGATACTGGTCCCAGGAACGCCGTACCAGCAACTAGTTACTGTGATGGCGCAAGCAGAACCGTCAAACAGCGAAATAATCAAAAGCTTGAAAAACAACAAAGAATGCTTGTATATTTCAAAGGCCCAGGAGATTGAGAAGACCTTCGCTGCAGGAAACAGGCGCGCCCTGTCCAAGTTGATTCAATCAGCCAACCACATAAAAACAAGTGTCAACATGACAACGATTTACTTCTTAAATCATCGTTTTCAGTGACCAGTTGCTCACTTCAAAGAACATTCAGCTGGTTGACTTTACAACAACAGCTGGATAAATCCAGCGGGCCTGAATGGTACACCAACACTAGTCCACCATCAGCGGCAGAAATTCAGAGTGAAATATGAATCCTGCAAACCGACAAAGCATGACCGACGAACCGCAGATCGTCTGCATCGACATTCTTCAAATAAGGTGTTGAGGTCCCGGTGAACGGTTTGACAAGCCTACTTCAGATCTGGGGCTTCGACTGATATCCCGGTCCACAAAAATGTTGCATGAACATCAGGCGAAAACCATCATGGCATAAGCTTGGTTTTCATGACATCTAAGGTAAACCTCTGGGCTTATTCTGCACACGTTGACCTAATACCAGGTTAGATTCGTGCGAATCAAGCTTGGTTTCGCACCCGCGGAGGATGCACCAAACGGATGTGTACTTTGAGACAAATTCCTGAAATGCGCCACTCCGGAGTCCCATGTTTTTCTTAATCTAAAAGGTTCTTTTGACTCTTTCGATCGTGATGAACTTTGGCTGCGTCTGGTGATCAAAGGTGTCCGTTTTAAATCTATATCCATTATGAGGGCACCGTACGAACTCCTGTGGGCACATACGATTTTAGGAAAAGATTTTATCACATCCAGTTGTGCAAGATCAGGCTTCCATCTGTAGCGCTCACTCATTATATCGTGCGTCACAATGAACCTAACTGACAAGTTTGTGCGACAACATTCACACTACAATTTCCCATTCATTTTTTTCACGTGGCTGCCGCCTGCGACACGTGCCATCCTTACAACCTTCAACCACTTCTAGTCAAGTTAATGTCTGTGCAACTATCAAAACAAGAACAGACACCCCTGTCTTCACATCGCACACAATAAGTAACCATGCAATTTGACCCAATACACACAGGCACAAGACAAGAGGGGTCAACCGCGCTCCGCAAGTCTCCGCGGGTAACTACGAAACTGGGTAGCAGCCATGCAGCACAGAAAACGTGCCCCGCGTCCGAAACTTCACTCAAGAACTCTCAACAGTTTTCCTCAAAGAATAAGTCACTTTTAGGCTTATTCTCTTGGTGCATTGTATTTCTTTTTATTGTTGTATTTATTTATTTATTTTTCGTCGACTACTGAAATCATCTTTCTGGTAAAGCAGATATTTCTCAGTGCTTGTCCCCTTCGAATAACCAATGAAAACCAGAGCATTTTCCTATCCAATTTTGTTGCTAACACGCTGTTTTAAATTTTTTGCCTAACTGTGAAAACCTTGTGAGTCGAAATAATCGCAGGATGTTTGCTCAAAATATTGAGCAAACGGATGACATTGATTTCCTTGGTTTAGCTTCTTCAAAAATGCAAATCATTTTAAAAAGCCCAAAATGGCCCCGCCGGACTCTCTGACTTGCTCTTCACACCCTCAATATGTAACGTGCTGCTAAAAATCCAAACTCACACTTTCAGACAAGCCGATCGATATGGCAGATGAAGATGTTTTCTTCAACTGTTGTGAAGTAGCTGGAGATGGGATTACTTCCCAAATTAGGAAAGGCAAATTTTACCAAACAACAACACCTATGGCGCCGACCTGACGTCAACAGCAGAGTTTACACTGCTACTCTGCGTTCCATACTGATTTGCGGATCACAGTTTTGACCTGTACGAGTAGATGACTTATGAAAGATATCGGTGTGTGACCACTGATTTCTCCGAAGCATTGATCGGGTCTGCTGGGAATATCGAAGTAGCGATACTGAGGTAACCCGGAGGATACCAGGAAGAAGCAAAGACCCACCTCCGATGAATTACTCACACTGGTTGGGACGTGTACTCCGCGTCCCAGGTGCGGCGCATGGTCTGCAACTCGTAAATTGAATTAAATAAATTGGGTAAATCTGGCCTGATTAACCTTGACATGAACTAATTAAAGCAACCCATATTTTATGAATCTTACGTGATATGTAGCGGAGCATGACCATTTTGCATGTGGCTGGTCAGAAATATTGTGAATATAAACTTGGGCGCTGTGTTTCAACCTCACATCTTGTGGTCCGCTAGTGAATAGATCTTTTCGTAGGTATGTGTGACTTGCTAGACGCTTCCATTCATGAGCAGATTGTTACAGCCCAGCTGACTCACCTCTAATGCAAGAATTCCCAACGACCCCAGAACCAAGGAGCTCACCAAAGGTACCGTGTTTTCGTAAAGTCTTGACCTGCAGCCAATTTCAACATTGCTGTTCGTAATGTTGAATACTTGTGGGCATCTGTCAGCATCTTGTCCAATTTCGTACTTCTTACAGCAGGAAATTGGGTAGCGAATACCTGTGAGTGAAAAAACCCAGAAAGTTCGGTGTTCGCGTGAAAAAGTTTCCAGTAAAATTTCGGAAGACCTGGAAGGAAAACTCACATTAGATATGACACAGATCTTGTATACTATGGTACATTGGACTTAACTTTTTCTTGCGTTTCTCTGTGTTTTCCTGTTATTTTGTATCTGTAAGAACCTAGGATACGGTTGTCTGTATTCCAAACTGTTCCAAAAACCTTGTCTCCACTGTCTCAATAGTTGAGCTCTAAAATTTTGACTAGGAGAGTTTTCTGTTATACAACTTGTTTGATGTCGATCTGGGATATTCTGCATGGAAGCATTGATTGCAGGAAACATTACAGGGAGCTTGCTCCCTGACTCACTCGCGATAACCCGCAAGTGTTCACGTACATTGCTATAGCAAGAAAAAACGATTGTTTTTTACGACACGTCCAAAAATATTGGCTTCTAGGTTTGATTACTTTGAAAGAAATAGAAAACGGCTATTAGGCACTGGCCACTATGGATCACAAGGGTAAAAAATAAGTAATGTAAGTGCAGTGATGTACAAATCTGGAAACCAGTCTCCTTATTCACTTAGAGTAGGTTCTGTCAAGCAGACAACAGTCCTTGCGCAATTACCTCGGAGGATGAAATGCTTGTATGTAATACGCTACTCATAAGGTTACTGATAATTCTCCGACAGCCCACGACCGATTTCCCCCTCCTTGGGTCTCATCAGGTAGGCGAAGTCCCCGATCTTCCGTCAATCTTATGTTTTACGCACTAAATTAGCGACATACACTCATCGTTATGGCACGAGCGGCACACCAACAGTGCGAAAAACTCGGGCT